TTTACTAAATCAGAGAAATTAATTAGCTATTTTGCCGTCATTGTCAAAAATTTTACTTAAATAATATTTAAATATAAAATTAAAAAAAAAAAATTGTGACCTAGTGATATACATACTTATACTTGATGTGAAAATAATTTTACATACTGTAAGTGATTCTAATACATTTACTTGTTTTAAAAAGAAATATAGTATATTAAAAATTAAAAGGAAATTTTTTTTAAAATCGTAGTTAAATAAAAAGTATTCTAACCTAAACACCCCGCAAAAATCTTTAAGTATACAAATAGAAAAAAATGCCGTAAGAATTTTTGCCGTTAACAATAAATTTAAAAAAAAATCCAGACGACATGCATTTAACGGATGTTAATTCATTGAAAAATACATCCCTACTCCTACCAAAACGTAACTAATAACTGATACATCAAAATACAGCGATAATGAACACCAAAACACCCCTTGTCTGGTTGAATAGATTTCTCCGCATCCTTGGAAACGTGAATTATGATTTTTGCCGTGCCTTTAAAACCCAGTAAAATTAAAAATAAGTTCTCCAAAATTTGCTTGAGGATGAAATGGAACTAATGTCTTTAATTTAATTACAAAATTAAATTCGAAGTTTTTAGTTTCCATTTTTGAAACATGGTTAGAACTGTGTTGCGAAAAAAACCATATTTTAAATCAATTAATTTATAATATTAATGCTCTGTAAATTTACATTGAGCACTATTTTGTAAAAATAAAAATATCTATAAGAACACCGGATTATATATCTTACTGTTCTTTCTTTATATATATATATATATATATATATATATATATATATATATATATATATATATATATACACAGGGCATACGATACGTTATACGGTTCAAAAAGAGTGTAGTCAAATGCTTTAAAAAGATGATTTTATACATGACAATACGTCATTACATTCGGCGTAGAAAAACAGTTAATATCAGAATAAGATGGCTTTCAAAACACACGTTTGGTGAAGTGACCGGCTTATTTGCCCGACCGTAAACTGATAACTTGCAACTTACCAGCAAAAATAAAATTTACAATGTTATTCTAGATACTTTGCAGTGTGTTTCATATAAAGAAATATAAAAGTTAACTAAGTCAATGTATGAAGGACGACAAAAACCAATTTCAAAACATGAAGGACACATTTCACAATAAAGTTGTCTTTATAACTTTGTCATTATTGCAATGACGTTATTTTCTGTTTTTTGTACAAGACTTTTGTTTTCATAAATTTTGTGCAAGTAGTGTTACTAAAATTTTTAATTGTAAAAATGTTTGAGTTTCAATGATCTGGATAGTTATACGAAACTGAAAATTCAGAAAAACTGCCACATCGCAAAAGTAACATTTAGTCTTTTATAAATTATACATATAACCGTGAATCAATTAGTTTTGTAAAAAAAATGCGAAACATTAAAATGGTTTATAATGATGTAAAAGTCAGTATATATATATATATATATATATATATATATATATATAAATCAGATTAATTTAACATTAAATTTTCTAATTTTACTAAAATAACGTGTCAGAAATTTTTTAAAATATTTTTAAAATCGATAAATTTGTGTTTGTTTACAAATTTCTTAAAATTAAGAAAATGACCGTTTTTAAGAATTCCATAATTAAATTTGACATTCCAATGTATATAGTTTCTATCTGAAATACACCAGAATTGTTTACTTAATGCAAATAAATTTAATGATTAAACTTTCAGTTAAAGCTAAAATGAAATCTTCAAGCATGTTTTTTCATTTTAAAAAATTAATTTTAAACATAGGTATCTAAAATTTATGCCGAAAAAGTGGAGGTCCCTATAAAGAGGGAGAGAGAGACACACACACACGCACACACACACACACACTTTTTATTTTTATTTTTCTTCGACTTGCGTTTGTTATTGACACCCTCTTATTTCTCTCCTCCTCCGCTCTTTCCCCCTATCACATTCCCACTTAATATTAGAATTATGTTTCCCGACTAGAATGCATAATGAATTCCAGCCCGGAACAGCAGGAGATCATACAGACACCACACTCTGATTCTAGGCAGAAAAGCGTCCTTAAAATGTTTAACAATTTTGGTACATACAAACAAGCAGAATGTAGAAAGGACGTGGAAGACAGGATCTAAGCACTTTTCTCTTTTTCCGAGTTTGGGGCTAACTGAAAAATGTCCAAACACCAAAGATATGTAAATGTATCCATAACGGTTTTCCCAATATCAGAATGTCTTAAAAGTTATTCTAATATATTCATATATATATATATATATATATATATTATATTATATATATAATATATTATATATATATATATATATATATATAAATATATATATATATATATATATATATATATATTATATATCAAATATATATATATATATATATATATATATATATATATATTATATATATATTATATATATATATATATATATATATATATATATATATATATATTATATATATATATATATATATATATATATATATTATATATATATATATATATATATATATATATATATATATATATATATATATATATATATATTATATATATATATATATATATGAATATATATATATATATATATATATAAATATATATATATATATATATATATATATATATATATATATATTTTATATTATATTATATATATATATATATATTTTTATATATATATATATATATATATGTAATATATATATATATATAATATATAAATATATATTTGATAATTATTTATATATTATATGGTATTTTGACGATCGCTAAATGTCTTGAAACCCAGGGTCAAAATAAAAAATCAAATCTAGACAACCAAATATATTATATATATATCGATTAATTTTGATGACCGATTTCGAAAATGTTTTGGAATTTCTTTCTTTGACCAAAGAATTATTCGTAAAATAAAAAAAAAATCAATCATTAAATACAAAATGATTGTTATTTTAATTTTTGCATGTTGTATATATATATATATATATATATATATATATATATATATATATATATCCTATTTACGAACGATCTGTTTGAAGAAATGTTCAAAATTACCAATAAATTTAAAATTTACTTTAATTACCACTTTTATTTTTTCTGATAATGTCGTGCATTACAAAATTCGGCATGTTTATGACCCATCTCACACACAAAAATTCAAAATTCTGCTTTTTTTTTTAGATACTGGTGGTCACTATATTGTAGTAAGCTTTTACATTTATGATTAATATAGTTTTACTTAATAATATCATCTAACCGCGATAAATTAATACAGAATTTTAAATATTTTAAAAAAACTATAAATTATTATAACTAAAATTTAAAAAAGTGAAAGTGCGTGCCAAAATTCATTATTCATGGAAATATTTTTTTCTTAAGACTATAGTGACCATAATATATCTTATTCATAAAATAAATTAAAAGTTTTTCTACTTATATAATAGAGTTTTTATTGCACTTTTTTATTTTTACAATTCAAGAGATTTTCTGCAACTCGGGGTCCTGTTTGACAAAAAAAAAAAAAAAAAAAAAAATGATGATTTAAATTCTCCATGGACTTGTATTTATAACTAATATAAACAGCACTACAAAAATGAATTTCGAAATCTCATAAAATTAAATTTAATTCAGTTGTTAATAAGTCTTGAGTGTTCCATCAAAATCTGACAATTATCTGATTTTGCAAGAATTTCCAAATCAATCTGTTTTTCACTTCAAAAAGAGGCTTAAAATTTCCCATACTAATTTATGCACCCACTGCCACGTTGACGCAAGAAAAGCAACATTTAACAAAATTTTTGAATAATCTATAAATGATAAAATATATAATTTAATAAAAAATCCTTTGGTCTTTCCTCTTAATAATAACAGATTTTGACAATAAAACCGTTTTTATTAAGTTTGGGGCATTTTTCTATCATGTTTTTAGCGAATCTTTGCACCTAATATATATATATCTCAGGGTTTTTTTTTATAATGGGAAGAGCTTCAAAGTAAAACCTCGCCTATTTCAGTAACCGTTCATATATAATTATATAATCTGAAAACTTTAAGTCATTAAGAATTTTGTTAAATTCACTTTCAATTAACTTAAATTTTTAAACCTTTTCGATTTCCTGTATAATTAGGAATGTTCGCATGTAAATATCATTCTGTACGTTTTTCTATGTTCAGAAAAACGTGCATTTTCAAAATACCTTTACATATGCGTGCTAGTCAATATAGTAGTAATAAAAACGTACTGACAGAAGGGTTATCATGTGGGAAATCCGAACTTGTGTATATAAAATCTCAAGTGTTTCCTTGCCATGCACCCAAAGTCTTCTCCGTCTTATACTTGACGAGAGCGAACATAAAAGTTTTATTGCCACTTACAGTAAAAAAAATAAATAAATAACGACGCGTTAACACTTAAGGGTTTGTCTTCAGTTACAGAAGAGAGGGTCGTAGATTGAATAATACGACGTTCTCTTCCGAGACCCTAGTTTTGTGTACTGTAGTAAACTAGGCTTGTTAAAAGGCAGGCGTTCCTCGATTTTGGTCTTTACCGTAAACAGACACTTGATAAAGTCTGAGGCATTGAATACTGAACTTCATGTCATGCACACTGTCCTCGTCTCTTTGGCTAATAATAAAACAATCGTAACCTTGTAAGAAACAAAAAAAATGCCTTCTTTTTACACCATGACAGGCTGCTTATTCTGGCGATCAGTGTCAGTTATAAAGCCATTTTCGTGGACAGGAATTTATTGCCGTCTGACGAATACTAAATTTTAAACAAGCTACTTTATTGATGATGGATTTGCAAAGATAGCTCTGCACTTCAGTCAAGCAGAAGACTCCAGGGAATGCTAACCATCTCATTTATTGTCTGGAGTATAGGTTTCCCGGCACACTGATGGCTTTTATTTATCGACAGAGGAAATTTTGAGACACACTGTATGCATTTCTTTATAATCCTTGCAAATCAAGCATAAATGACAGAGAGAGAAAGAAAATATAAGGCGGCCTGAAAACTGTAAAGCAATTATTGGGGTTATTACAATTAAGTCTGGAATAAAAAGGAAAGTTGGAATACGGATGCTCTAATTGACATCTACAAAGCTTCGCTCATGCCTGGTACAAGGCTACAAGTATAAGACGTCAAGAGAAGACTGCACTCACTACAGTATTAATAGTCTGCAAGACGAGTCTGCTATCAACTTCTCAACGGTGAGGTGTCCCAAGTATCGTTATATAAAACGTAATGTTTAGCTATATGTATACATAAATGCGCCTGGTACGACCTCAGCTAATGTTACGCAACATATGCCAAATTTTTGACATTAATATTTCTCTTTCAGAATTATCGAGGACATTATCATGACAGCATCCAATCTGATACAGAAAATGAAAAGACACGCCTTACTTTGTAGCACTACCCACCAACCACAGAGAAATGACCACTTTCAAGAAACTGGTTATCTCTTCGCGGACGAGGCAACAAACGAGCTGGTGGCCTCTAGCAAATACGTATCATCCATGACTAAAGAAACGAAATAATCTAAGAGGTCAGAGGTCGTAAAAACGGCCGAATTTCCCCATTATCAACCACACTCCCAGCAAGACAAGGATTACCGATCAGCTCGACTTGTGGTAAACGGGAACATCAGGGACAAATTTTATATAACAAAGTGAGGACAGTTCATTTCCGTCAAAACACCTCAGAACCGCGTGATCCGATTGAAGATTTTGTTGAACAAGCTCAAGTACCCCATGGATCCTGGCATTCTCTGATTCTTCCTAGATGAGAACATCAACTGGGACCAGAATGTGAGCGGGGACAACGGCAGATGGCTCGGCACTGACTCCATATATATAAGTAAAATTAAATTTCCTTGGGAAATTTAAAGTAATAAAATATATGTTATTCTGCTTTCACAGTTGAGTACATGGTAGATGATACTTAGCTTTTGTACATATACAGGTGTATGGACATGATTACTAGATATGTCTTTTTATGTTGTAGTTTTATTGAAGCTATAATTTAGTTTGATTTCTTTAAGAAATTATATAGATTAATGTCATGAAAGAGTTCTTTCATGTTAGTTGATTTTGTTTAGCGACATATCAACCACTATGAGTTATTTAATGCTGAAATCTAAATATTTTAAACGTAATTGCATGCCTTCAACTACAGATAAAATGTATTTTTGGTCATTTTGCTATAAATATGTATTCCTATGCTACATAGTGCTTTTTCACTATTTGCTCATAGCTTGGATCCTAACAGGTGCTACCACCCCGGGTCAGGGTGAAATTGGGAATACCAGTGGTTCACGCTGCTAAAATCCTCCAATCTCCCGATTGAAGGCTTTGCCACCGGTTATAGTTTATCATGTCCAGGACTATAGTGATTGAGAAAGTATCCTCTTGGGAGTATGTCCCACGAAGTAGCAGTTTTCGGAAAGAAGCTGTGTGAGTGGGATTTTCTACTTACCAATGGAATAAGAAAGGAATGACGATGATTCAAACCTGTGTACGTGGCATGGTGGATCTTGGGCTGATGGAACTGAGGAACGTAGCTCGTCTGAACATTCGCCATGAAAATTGCGATAGAGTAGCTATAGGCTTGCGACATTTCGTCTGTAGGATTGAAAATAATCCACCACTCACAAGGCCGCGTAAACATTATGTAATACATTAGCACGAGGTAGCGGGTAGGCAGAACCTCAGTCAGAATTCGAACTCAGTTCTCTGCATCCATTCTCTGTACTGACAACGCCACCTCACATCTCAAATGCAATGTACATAGCTGAAATAATAAACTTCTTCGTCTGTCTGGAATCTTCTCGTCACTAATTTTTCAGTAAATACATAATTAACTTGCTTATCACCGACATCCGAGAAACAGTCACTTTTATTTGCTTGTGTGTATGAACCTGGTTTTTGGTTCGATGGGGTTCGCTCTTTCTTTTGGACAGGCCGGAAAAGGCTTTCAACAGGGCGCTGTCAAGATGAACGTAAAACGATACACAACTCTATCACTCACATTGGCATTTGATTGATAAGTAAAGAGAAAATTCCAGGCCCAAAAGAGAGATTATCCGCGTGAGTCGGCTTGACGACGGTTCAACAAAGTTGAACTTGTTACAAAAAGGTGACCGACATGTTTTTTGTTGTTGTTGTTTTGTCGACGTTCTCAGGGAAGGGTATTATGTGGGTAAAATGTTGAAAAGCGGGCACCAAATATGACCCTGAAAGCGATGAAAATGTTGCTATTTTTTTTTTAATTATTATTGACTTTGTTGATTATTTTAATTACTACAAGTATACCACCGATTTACTGATGCTCCTACACCTCTTAATCCGGGAAAGATAACTAGCACACTGTAAAAAATTATTTTTATGTACTGTGTTCCTACAGGGCATAGGTGATCAAGCCTCTCCACAATTTCCCATCCATTTTAGTTCTAAGTAATGTTTTCCTCCTTACTATCGTTCACTATCCTTGTTCTGTCATCCATCTACACAAGCTTGTTAGGTAGGCTACTCGCCGTTACCCTCTGCGCCACCGCTTGCTTTCAATATGTCCTGCAAGTGTCAAATTCTTCAAACACTATTTTCTTATGTACCCTAAAAATTAAAACTATCTCTTTATAAATGTCACTTTTGCTTATATTTTCCTTAAAACTTCCTTATTGTTCACATGATCCTTCCATGGTATTCTCAGCATGCTTCTTGCCAAAAGTTTCCCCTCTTAATTTGTGAGGAAACTTTCCCGTATTCACTGTCATATAGGAGGATAGATATGACAGATGACTCATTCAATAACTGAACTGCTTCTTTGAAACACCTATACGGTGCACTTATCAACAAAGATCAAATAATTCCTCAATTTTCCTGAAGAGAACATTAGATGGATAAATTATGGCAAGATTTAAGATTGAGAATTTAATATGAAAAATATTTTTTAGGGTGGGGGAATATGAGAAATATTTGTTTCTCACGGTAATTATACTTTAAAGATCTCACATGTGCATAATTAATGTGTCAGCGGTGTTTGGCTGAATTATTATTACCTGACCTCTGTTTGTTCGGCAATTGGATAATTATTGATGAACCAACATTACCGAAAAATCGGTGGAGTACTTCTATTATTTTTTTCAAACTAATAAGTCAACCATCTTAATTTCTGTTGCTTTTTTTTTTTTTTTTATCGTAACTCCTAGCATCCTCTTTTTATCTTTTTTGTTTTGTTTTTGAAAACGCGAGACTCAGTATATGGTAGAAAACTGCATGTTTTTTTTATTTCTTCTTTTTCCTTTTCTTAAAATAAAAATGCTGGAGAATTTTGAACACACCTAATAAACATAAAAGGTCGAATTAGAAAGCAGGGACCCGACACCTTCCCTTTGTCAAGCCGCTCATCTACACTTTTAGTGGGGTTACATAAAGTTGACATTTTAACAAACATTAACATATCAAGTGGCGGGTTGGTTACTTCCGTCACTAATCTTCCACAAATCAGGGAAACTGATGAAAATTGTTTTTGAATAAAATAAACTAAAACTTCTAACATCGTTCATTTCATTAAGTCCACAAAATGCAACATCTATGGTCGAAATCGAAAGAAAACGAAACACACATTGCCAATATCAGATGCTCTTTACTTTAGTTTTTATAAAGAAAATGACAAGGCTCAACCGAACAATAAGTATTGGAGTTCATCACCACTTCTAAAATCTGCAATATACATGCAGATGTTAGGCTGGTGATACCCATTAATAGAGCTTTTCATAAAGAGAAAGAAATATGCTCGAAAGCGAGACATGCACTATTCTGTACTATATATATATATATATATAATGGAATAATAATAATAAAAAAACGAAAGAATATTAATCTACAACCCAGTGTGTCTAATGATTTTAATTTTTTATTTTCTTATTGTTTAATATATATATATATATATATATATATATATATATATGTGTGTGTGTGTGTGTGTTAATTAGGCAGTCTGTTTCATGCTTGAACACAATGTTCAGGCCCTGAAAACTATGTTCAAGCATGAAACATGTTATCGCCATTCGGTGTTGAACTCTGTATCTACTTTGCTTATATTTACATACGCTCTATCCCGGTCATTGAGCACGTCTATCCTATAAATATAACATACATACATATACAAGTAAATATGCATAATATCCAACGTTGAGAATTTCATGCAGTTAATGCAGTCTTCGGGTGTGGGCCCAACCTTAAGTAGGTTATTGATCCATTATATATATATATATATATATATATATATATATATAAAGAAGACTCAATAACCTACTTAAAGATTGCACATATCTCGTTGGGCCCTTTCGAAGCTTATAACTGCTAGATTAATTTTCGTATTTTAAATAGATATTTTAATCTGATATTATTTATTACTATAAACTATATTTCGTGGGAGATGATATATCTGTTATTTCAAACGATGAAACCTCCTGATGCTATATTAAAGTTGTAAGTAATCATAACTGAACTGAACGAGTCAAGTGTTGTCCCAACCATTTTTAATGGTAGACAAATCATGCAATGGTACTGTTAGGTAAAATTGTTGAACATCTTGCGAGGCATACTGAATATTACGGACTCATTTTGGGTGGGCATTATCCTGCTGGGAAAGCACGTCACCTTCCTGTTGCAGGAATAGCTGTAAAAGAAATTGAACAATAACCAGGGCGTACCGGTACCGTTAATTCTTCCCTTCACAAATACCAAAGATGAACGAGACTTTTAGATTATGGTATCCTACATCATAATGCTATGGATTGGGTTTGTGTGTCGTAGGTGAAGACACTTTTATAAAAAAATACAGCTCACCAGGCTTACATTGCACACGCAAATAACCAACACTTATACGAAAGCAGAACCTGGTTTCATGACTAAATCATAGAACACCATTCACACCCACAAGTCACCCTTTCGCGACACTACTGTGACTCTCGATGGTATTTTGGTGGAGACGGAAGTCCGATTGACATCGTTATTGTTAGTTCCGTTTCAAGTAAATGATGCCCAATGGTTTGTGTTAGCATTTGTGAGACTTCATTTGCTCGGATCTATAGTGTGAATGGCGTGTTGACCGTAGTAGATTTCTGTACTACATGGCCACCAAGAATCTGTTCTACTGTTGTAGGAATATCTGTTTAATTACTGTTGGCAACATTGAAGCACCGCCGATGCGTCACACCCAACATAGAGAGCCTCCGGAAAGCTACAAATCGACCCCTCTCAAACAGCTCCAATCAAATAAAAAAGGAACACGTATATATTCGCCTTTACTGTTTAAAGTTCACACACAAGTGATGCACTAGTATGAGTTCTTAAATGTTTTTAGCCAGACCAAGAAAGGATTTAAACAAATGTTTGTAAAGTTCGGCGAGAATATTTCAGTACATTTCTGTGTGCGTACGTGCGTGTATGTCTATATCACGTCGGAGATAACATTGAATTTCTATGTATCTTTTAAAAGAGTTCTTGATCGACATGCCATTCAGAGAAAGTTTATGGCGAAGGCTTGGATGTTGATGACACCTTTCAAAAGTGTTCCACTCAGTATAGAATCGCATTCATAATGATGAACGAATATTTCATAATACTGTCATGTCTTTTGACGTTAATCGAAAATCTTCTTTCATTCTTTTTCAACAGTATATTTTTTTTCAGTATGATGCATCTGTCGCTGTCAGATGATAGAATAAGCAATTAAATTTACGAAACTTTTTAGAATAATTACAAAACTCCAAAAGGTATACCTAAAAAAAAAAGTCACAGAAAATGTCCGAGGTCTTAAATTAAACGGTTACTTTTTGAAGTCTGAAGGTATACGCATAAATAAATCTTATATAATTAAATGTTAACCTCTCTTGTTCTTAATTGAAATACGTTATTGTCTGAAAAGTGGATATAATCTTCACCAAACTGAGTAAGGACAAAATAAGTAAACATTTTTAATCAAATTCACCCCCATGCAAGGCAGTAAAGCCACTA